TGATGCTGCTTGGCCTGCTGTGTTCATCCAGCCCTGCACCTTGTTGTCTCGGATTCTCCAGCATCTGCAGTTCCTACTATCTCTGAGGCTATTGAGTTGGACGATCAGCCATGATTGTGAAGAATGGTGGAGCAGTGTCGAAGGGCCGAATGGCCTCCTACTGATCATATTTTCTATGTTTGCCAAGGGTGTGTTTGTGGGACATCACTATATTGGCACAGTTGCCATTTAGTAGGTAAATACTTTATTATTCTGGTAAGTTATCCAATAGAGTTAAGTGATTCCAATTTCTTCTTTTCGAGGGGGGCGCGGTGAGTAGCCGAGGGTTGATGCAGTTGCTACAGACTTCAGCAAAGCCTTTGACGAGGTTCCACACGGGAGACTGAGAAAGGAGATCGAACCTCATGGGGTCCAGGGTAACTTGGCAAGATGTATCCAAAATTTGTCTCAGTGACAGGAGACAGGGGGTGGTGGTAAAAAGCTGTGTGCCCAGCGTCCGTTGGCATACCACAGGGATCTGTGCTCAGTCCCTTATTGTTTGTGGTATATATAAAGGACATAGATGAGAACGTGGCAGAGAGTATGATAAGTAAGTTTGCAAATGATACAAAGTTTGACCGGGAAGTCAGGTGGAAGGCATTACGTTACAGGAGAATAGAAATGGATTGGTCAGATAGGCAGATAGGTGGCAGATGGAATTTAACCCTGAGAAAGTTTTCTTTCCCTTTATTCATTCACGGGATGAGGGCGTCGTTGGCTAGGCAGCATTTATTGCCCATCCCTAATTGCCCAGAGGGCAGTTAAGAGTCAACCACATTGCTGTGGGTCTGGAGTCACATGTAGGCTAGACCAGGTAAGGACGGCAGTGTGAGATGATAGCTCTTTGGAAGAAGAAACAAGACAAGGGACTACTCGATGACACGAGGACGCTCAAAGAACAGAGGGATATTGTCTGCAGATCTCTGAAGGTGACAGGACGGGTAAATAGGTGAATTAAAAAGGCAGAGATAGTAGGAACTGCAGATGCTGGAGAATCTGAGATAACAAGGTGTAGAGCTGCCTGAAACATCAACTTTCCTGCTCCTCTGATGCTGCTTGGCCTGCTGTGTTCATCCAGCTCTACACCTTGTTATCTCTGAGTTAAAAAAGCACATGGATCATTGCCTTTATCAGTTGTGGCATGGATTTTAGGAGCAGGGAGCTGATGTTGGAGCTGTACAGGACACTGGTTAGGTTACAGCTGGAGTGCTGTGTGTAGTCCTGCTCTGCACACTTCAGGAAGGATGGGATTGCACTGGAACGGGTGCAGAGGAGATTCACCAAGATGTTGCCTGGGACTGAGCTTTTCAGCGATGAAGAGAAGCTGGATAAACTCGGGCTGTTTTCTTTAGATCAGAGAAGGCTGAGAGGGGAACCTGACAGAGGGTGAGAAGATTATGAGGGGCATGGACAGGGTGGATAAGGAAGCAGCTGTTTCCCTTCAGTCGAAAGCTCAATAACCAGGGACGTGATTGCAAAGGGGACAGCAGGAGGTTTCGAGGGGATTTGGGGAAAAGGTTTTTTGACCTAGAGGGCAGTGGGAGGGGGTCGGGAATGCGCTGCCTGGGAGGGTTGTTGAGACGAGAAACCGCACAACCTTCAAAAAGGACTTGGCTGAGGCACTTAGTGTCAAACCATTCAAGCTTTACTCTGTATCTAACCCCATGCTGTCCCTGTCCTGGGAGGGTTTGATGGGGGAGACAGTGTAGAGAGAGCTTTACTCTGTATCTAACCCCATGCTGTCCCTGTCCTGGGAGTGTTTGATGGGGGAGACAGTGTAGAGGGAGCTTTACTCTGTATCTAACCCTGTGCTGTCCCTGTCCTGGGAGTGTTTGATGGTGGACAGTGTAGAGAGAGCTTTACTCTGTGTCTAACCCCGTGCTGTCTCTGTCCTGGGAATGTTTGATGGGGGACAGTGTAGAGAGAGCTTTACTCTGTATCTAACCCCGTGCTGTCCCTGTCCTGGGAGTGTTTGATGGAGGAGACAGTGTAGAGGGAGCTTTACTCTGTATCTAACCCCGTGCTGTCCCTGTACTGGGAGTGTTTGATGGAGGGGGACAGTGTAGAGGGAGCTTTACTCTGTATCTAACCCCGTGCTGTCCCTGTCCTGGGAGTGTTTGATGGGGGGGACAGTGTAGAGGGAGCTTTACTCTGTATCTAACCCCGTGCTGTCCCTGTACTGGGAGTGTTTGATGGAGGGGGACAGTGTAGAGAGAGCTTTACTCTGTATCTAACCCTGTGCTGTCCCTGTCCTGGGAGTGTTTGATGGGGGGGACAGTGTAGAGGGAGCTTTACTCTAGTGATCATGATGGTTTTACATGAATCCACTGGCCACTGCCAGTTACTTACACTGATTATTTGTGTGAATTCTCACAGATTGCATTACAGAACAAATGCCCCCTGTTGAACTTTGTCGTCCTGAACGAAAACTTTCCAAGCATTGACTTCTACCAGGCGAAGGGGGCTGTTGATGTGACCAAGTCGGAAGGGTGGCATCTCTTCAGGTTCCAGCAGGAACAGTTGGCAAAGCTGGCAGGCGGAAAGGGGCAGAACGTTGCGGCCTCTCCCTCTCAGTAAGCGCGGAGAACGGAGAGAATTCCCCGCCAGCCGGAGAATTCCCAGCCTCACCATGGCGAATGGGGAATCCCTATGTAAACATGTCACATTGCAATTGTAGCCTCCTGCCAGCATGTGGCGCTACAGGAGAACGACCGCGTGATCTGCTATCACCCAATCATCAGAGAGAATCTATCACTGAATAACTGAGGTGTCCTCTCAATCCTTTACATCCACAATAACCTGTTCATTGGTGTCACTGACCACTTTTGTGTAGGATTAATTGTCCTGATCACAAAACTGTAATTAAACTTATTATCTCTTCAGAGTTGCTTTGCATCTTTGAGCGAATGCTTCCTGCTGTCTGATATTTGTGGTATTCCCATTTCGCAAGTTGCTGGCTACATTCAGCCAGAACTGAGGGGATGCATGTGTCTAGAAAGTTTGCAGGACAGAAGAAGGGGCCATGGGATCATCCGGTATAGGGGCAGAATGAGGCTATTCGGCCCATTGAGTCTGCTCCCCCATTTATGAGATTACAGCTGATCTAATCCTCTGCAACTCCTTTCCTATCTTTTCCCCACAACCCTTGATTCTCTTACAATTAACATCTCTTTAGGTCAGCCTTGAATATACTGAATGAGACAATGTAGATAACCCCCTGTGATTAAGAATTCCACAGATTCAATCCCCTCCAACAGAAGAAATTCCAACACATCTCTGGCTGAGCCTTCATCCTGTCCGATAAGGGGAAACAACATCTCCTCTGTCAAATCCCTCTAAGAATCTTGTATGTTTCAATAAGGTCGCCTCTCAATCTTTTAAGCTCCAATGAGTACAAGGCCCCAACCTACTCAACCTCTCCTCATAAGACAGGCCCTCCATACCCTAGATCAACCCAAATCGAAGTGAGCAGGTAATGGGCACCACACTTTAGGAAGGAAGTATTGGCCCTGGAAGGAGTAAACGTAAGTTTACAAGAATGACATCTGGACTTCAGGAGTTAAGTTACAAGGAGAGATGATTACAAATTAAGCCTGTTTTCTCTAGAACTGATTAACATCTTCAAGATGTTGAGAGGAAGAGGCAGGGTAAATAAAGATTAACTACTTCCACTGGGTCGGAGATTCTAGAACTAGGGGCACAGTCTGAGAATTAGGGCTAGACCAGTCAGGAGAAATGTTAGGAAGCACTTTTACACACAAAGGGTGGTAGAGGTCTGTAACTCAGTGAATGCTGGATCAGTTGTTAATCGTAAATCTTTTTAAAAATTTGTATTAAATGGCAGAGAAGGCTGGAAGAAGACCTTCCTGGTCCTGATCCTGGTTCTTATGTTAAATCTGAGACTGATTTTGTTTTGTTTTAGAAAACGGGCATTAAAGGAAATGACCCAAATGCAGATAGATGGACAGTTAGCCATGATCTCATTCAATGGTGGAACAGGTTGGAGGGGCTGAATGGCCTGCTCCTATGCGCCTAATAAACCCTTTTTGGATCTCTGAGAGGGCTATCAAAGAGGAGGTGGAACTGGAGGTTGGGGAGGTAAAGGTGAGATGAAGTGAGTGACTGAGGCTGGAAGGGGAGGGCAGCAGTGGGCGCTGTGGATACATTTTTGCGGCGGTCGCCAGGACCCCGCGGCCGCATAGTTGCGGCTTGTGGAGCAGTCAAGCGTCCGGACATTTCGTCTGGAGGGGGAGACTATCGAAATACCAGCTTCTAAAAATAGGATTTTGCTGGAAAAGTCTCACCAGTATAGTCGAAGAGATAATTATAAATCAAGTGAAACCAAACGCCTGAGAAAAATAATCATCTTTGTTGGGTTTGGAGTGGAGTTTTGTGTGCTTGGTAGTTGGCATTCCCCTCCCAGCTTTGCGGTGGCAGCGCCCGGGCTAAAGGTTCCCGGCGCCGCTGGGTCCTAGAGAGATCTGCGGCTGGCAGGCAGCCGTTTGCTGCTCTGCTAAGTTCGAGTTAGACATGGCATTCAGCGTTCGGGAGGCGACAGCGGAGGACGCAGTGCACATTGCTCGAATGATTAAGGTCGGTCCCAGCAGCAAACCTGAACTTGGATGCAAAAGAGAACGGGAAAGGGAGAAATGCAACTTAACCATATGGAGCAGGAGAGGCAGGGAGTGGGAGAGAAGCTTTGCGTATTGGGCTATTGAAGGGGGGTGGAAGGGTTGTGGGTGGTGAGCAAGTTTCTTAAAAAATACAGGACATGGGTGATTCAAAATGTGCACATTTTGATAGCATTGTGAGCTGTGCACAGCTCAATTCACCTGAAAATGAATGGAATGCACAGAAACAGACAGGTACGTGCTCAGGTATAGGAAGACTTGCCTTTAGTCGCTGAGGGACTGAACACAAGAGCCAACGAGGCTAGGATGCAGCTGTATATGACATCAGTTAGGCCATATGTTTTCCCCCTGGAGCAGAGGGTGCACCTGATTGAGGTTTACAGAGTTCTGAGGGGGTACAGACAGGATAGACAGGCAATAGGAGAGAATGTGGGAGAGAAGCTAGTTAACTCTTCAGGAAAAGTTAACTCTGACTTTCTTTTTCTTCACAGATGCTGCCAGACCTGCTGAGCTTTTCCAGCAACTTCTGCTTTTGTTCCTGGCTTACAGCATCCGCAGTTCTTTCGGTTTTAAGGCAGGGATAAACATTTTTCTTCTGTAATGGAGGACTCAATAACAATTTATAGGAAATGGAGTGGATTTGAGGGGAACAGTTTTCACATAGAGGTGTACAGCATGGAAACAGTCTTTTTGGTCCAACTCGTCCATGACGATCAGATATCCTAAATTTATCTAGTCCCATTTGCCAGCATTTGGCCCATAACCCCCTAAACCCTGAGATAACAAGGTGTAGAGCTGGATGAACACAGCAGGTCAAGCAGCATCAGAGGAGCAGGAAAGCTGACGTTTCAGGCCTAGACCCTTCTTCAGATTGTAGGAATCAATTAGAATATAGCAAAATTTTGTGTGTGAGTGAGTGGAATGAGGTTGGCAGGATGACATTGCATCAAGTCAATATCTCACCTTCCTCAGTCTGGGTGACCTGTTCAGAAAGGTTTTCATATTCAGCCCATTCCTAAAACAAACAGGAAACTTGTCAATCCCAAATGAAATGCCCATTTCCAAAGAGGAAACTCTTTAGGGAGTGCAGCGTGAGCAGTAGGCACATGGGGTCTAGGCCCGAAACGTCAGCCTTCCTGCTCCTCTGATGCTGCTTGGCCTGCTGTATTCATCCAGCTCTACACCTTGTTATCTCAGATTCTCCAGCATCTGCAGTTCCTACTATCTCCCCCTAAACCCTTCCTATTCATATCCCCATCCAGATGCCTTTTAAATGTTGTAATTGTACCAGCCTCCACCACTTCCTCTGGCAGCTCATTCCCTACACGCACCACCCTCTGCGTGAAAAAGTTACCTCTCAGGTCCCTTTTAAATCTTTCTCCCCTTCCTTTAATCCTATGCCCTCTAGTTTTGGACTCCCCTTTACTGGGAAAAAGATCTTGGCTATTTACACTATCCATGCCCCTCATGATTTTATAAACCTCTATAAGGTCACCCCCTCAGCCTCTGACACTTCAGGGAAAGTAGCCCTAGCGTATTCAGCCTCTCCCTATAGCTCAAACCCTCCAACCCTGGCAACATCCTTGTAAATCTTTTCTGAACCCTTTCAAGTTTAGTGACATCCTTCCTATAGCAGGGAGACCAGAATTGAATGCAGTATTCCAAAAGTGGCCCTAACCAATGTCCTGTACAGCCGCAACATGACCCTCCCAATTCCTATACTCAATGCAGCGACCAATAAAGGCAAGTGTACCAAACACCACCTTCACCGTCCTGTCTACCTGCAACTCCGCTTTCAAGGTGGGAATCTGGAACTGACTGCATGTGAGGATGGTCAAGGCAGGAAGCATCAAGTCATTGAAGATATATTTAGATGTATACTTGAAGGCTATGGGTCAGTTGCTGGACAATGTAATTAGAATGGGGTGCTTGATGATTGGTATGGTTGTGATGGGCTGAAGGGCCACTTTGGGTGCTGTAAACACTCTATCGCTCTCCACCCCACCCCCAAATCCCTATCCAGGTGCCCAGTCCACATGTGTCCACTCCCCATGTGCCTACTGCTCACGCTGCACTCCCTGAAGAGTTTCCTCTTTGGAAATGGGCATTTCATTTCACTTCATTTGGGATTGACAAGTTTCCTGTTTGTTTTAGGAACGGGCTGAATATGAAAACCTTTCCGAACAGGTCACCCAGACTGAGGAAGGTGAGATATTGACTCGATGCAGTGTCATCCTGCCAGCCACATTCATATCTCTCTCTTTCTCTCACTCACTCACTTTCTAACTCGCACGCACACACACTTTAAATTTTGCTATATTCTAATTGATTCCTACAATCTGCAAAGCCGGACTTCTTAATTTCTTTATTTTCTAACTATGTTTTCCCAAGACTGTGGATTGAAGAATCTGTACCAAGATAACTTTGTATCAACTTGTAAACTTTTCACTGGAGTCATCTGAATATATGTGACAATAAAGCTAACTCAAACACTTACATACACTTATCACTTGTGCACAAACTTCACACAGACGTGCACACTCTCAGACACAGACTCTGTCTCTCTCATTCACACACACAGACTGTGTGTCTCTCTCTCTTTCTCTCTCATGTGCAGACTGTGTCTCTGTCTCATGTGCAGACTGTGTCTCTGTCTCATGTGCAGACTGTGTCTCTGTCTCATGTGCAGACTGTGTCTCTGTCTCATGTGCAGACTGTGTCTCTGTCTCTCTCTCTCTCGTGCAGACTGTGTCTGTCTCTCTCTCTCTCTCTCTCGTGCAGACCGTGTCTCTGTCTCT